CCCCAGAGCACAGCAGAGGGGCAGGATCCCCTCCCTGACCTGCTGCTCACGCTCTGGGGGTGCAGCCAGCACACGGGGGGGTTCTGGGCTCAAGCCACACCAAAGCCAGGTCATGGGGAGCTTTTCATCAACCAACACTCCCAAGTCCTTCTCCTCAGGCTGCTCCATCCAGTCTCCCCCAGCCTGTAGTTGTGCTGGGGATTGTCCCAAGCCACAGGCAGGACCTTGCAACTTGGCCTTGTTGAACTCCATGAGGTTTGCATGGTGCCACCTCTCCAGCCTGTCCAGGTCCCTCTCCCCATCCCTCCCCTTCAGTGTGTTAGCCCAACACACAGCTTGGTGTCACTGGCAAACTTGCTGACCATGCTTGATGCCACTGTCCGTCAACGATGTTGAACAGCGCCGGTGCCAACACCGACCTGAGGAACTCCACTTGTCACTGATCTGCACTGGGACGTCGAGCTGTTGACCACAACTCTTTGAGTGTGACCATCAGCCAATTCCTTATCGACTGAGTGTTCTATCCATCACATCTGTGCCTCTCTAGTTTAGAGACAAGGATGCCATGTACGGCAGTGTCCAAGACCACTTTTTACAGGTATGGGTTAGACAGTCGAGGCAATCCTGCTTTAAGCAAAAGCATTATATACAACATGTAGTAATGCAGATCTGCAAAACCAGATATGAGATGAACTTTAGAAAACCCCAGACTTTAAAGAAGGATTTTTCTAAGGTGCAGTATTAAGTTGATAGGAACACAATGCTAAATATTCCTGTGAGCAACAACCCATGAAAACTCTCTCAGGTGTCTGCAAATTCTATAAAGAGAAAAACAATTCTTACCAGAGTTAAATGAAAAACCCAGTTACCACAAGTTACAAAGAAAGAAACAGCATGGACCTAAAGAACAGCTGGGAAATCTGCCAACTCTGCAGGTTAACAGCCTTGTAGCATTGACATTCTTGATCCCAAAGCCCCTCCCTGGAGACCATAATCTAATGAAGTAGAATTAGATACTAACAAAGTATTCATATGCCATTCATTCCAAGCACTACAGGAAATAAAGGTACATCCAATAGAGCAGTCTCTTTTCTAGCCATTTATTTATTGACAAAAAGACCTCAAGTGTTCTAGCTAGGTATTTGTAAAATGAGCTAAGAGGTCAATGCCCTGTCCAGCATGATCCTACTTACACACATTATATTCGTATCAGGAATAATAAAATCGTACAGATTTTACTGCCAGCATGTGACGTGTTTCCTCTGAAGCCGGGCCTTTTGTCAGAGTTAGGATTAGAAATGATCTCTGGCACACGCACCACCTTGGATTAGACAACCACCTCGAGGTAACTGCACCAAACTCCAACCGGCTTGGGGCGATCAAGAGCAGCACTGTCATTTTTTGTGATACAGGCTACAGAGACAATCCAGTACAGCAGAGATGCAGTACTCATAGCCACAATGGGAACAATGCAGCAGGGCAAACGTACAGTATTCCTGCAACAATGGACTGTAAGACTAAATAATAATAATAATAATAATAA